TACTAAGTCCACAGCATTTCACTGGTCTACTAATTTAGTCACTTTGTCAAATAATAAATAATGGTTTGCCATGATCTGTTTTTAACAAACCCTTGCTGGCTTCCAGTTATAACTTTATTTGTTTCTAGAAGCGTGAATATCTTTTTTTTAATTATTTTTTCCAGGATTTTCCCAGGTATTTATGTTATGATGAATGGTTTTCTGGATCTGTTCCTCTCTCCCTTTTTTTTGAAGATGGGAGCCAAATCAGCTCTTTTCCAATAGTAATACTCCAAATGCACCAGGATTTTTAAATATATGGTACAATTGCTATGAGATAATAACTGCCAGCTTCTGTGATCTTGTCGCAAAATGTACATTAAAAATTCTCTTCATCAAAATAAATTTTTAAAAAAATCATATCTAAAAACGATTGCATTTAGGTTTACTCAGTATTAAATCCTTATGAATAGTTTCAAAAAATAGATCCTCACTCTCTTCTTGCAAAGATAAACTTATCACAAACATAAGTATTCAAATCTTAATTGAAAATTTTTTCAGGTATATATAAATCTGTCATTTTAATTTTACTTGGATTTTTAAATCCCATTAACATGTATTTGATTATTTAATACTAATATCTGTAATAGTGAAGATACATAATGTTTGAGAAATGTTAAATTCATTTATATTCACTGGAATTTAAATCATGCAAACAAAAAGTGTGAGAGATAAATAAAACACATTTATAGAAAATAATTATTTAAAAGCATGTTAACCCACCTGGTTAAAGCTGCTGTGCCAAGTAAGGTCATCATCCTGGATGGTAAAGATCTTGCTTGAAAAAATCCAAAGCATTAGCTTTCCAATTTTGACATGATATATAGATTGGTTTGGGAATGTGACCCAGTTTACAATATCAAATCCACTTGCCAATTCTCCATTCGAATCAAAAGAAATCTGATCACCTGCACTATTGTTAAATATGATTTTTTTCAAGAAAGAGTGTAGCTGTAAGTCAAAGAGCAGCATGAAAGTTTATAAAAATGTTTCAAAGATAATTCTTAAATCCCAGATCTTATCACCATTATGTATTATTTCTGTTTTTCCTCATTTGTTTGAAGTGGATTACAGAATATTTCACAATAAAAAAGTCCTATTTTAATTTAAAAGAGGAAATTGGTAAAATAAGCATCACTGATCAATGATTCTCATGTTTGTCAAATTTTATTGAATGTAAGTCATTTTAAATGAGCTATTCAATACTTCCCATATGGACAAATCAGTAGGTAAGTCCCCATTGCAATAACAAAGTCAAAAATAGAAATAGGAAACCTTTGATAAATCATAAGGATGGATGTCAGAAAAGTAAACAACAGTTTCTCCATGGGATTTCATTAAATGTTATAATGCTAATGTAAGAAATTAAAGAATTAAAAAAATATGGTTATGTAGAGGACACAGTGAGCAAACTGTCTAGAAAGTTGAAGATATCTTAATCAAGAAACTTCAATGAAACAGTTATGAGTCTTGAAAGATTTAAAATAGTTGAGAATATACTACATTACCTTCCATGGCTGCAGATCTTGAAGAAATGCTTTTTCTCTATTTACAATTTTTCTCTCTCTGAAATGACGTGACCACATGGCCTGTGTAGCATGTGCTACTGCATAGACTGCATTATATACACCATAGCTATAACTACTCGTAGTCATTTCAAAAAAAGCTCCAGGAAGTGTCCCCAGCTTCTCCTGCCCACTACAGGAGTCACTGGTTTTCTCTGTTGGAGGCAGTTTTGGAAACACACAATCAAATGCATGTGCCCACACATTTCTGATAAAACCATCATCTCTTGATAAAGGGTTCACAGTCTGAAGAAACTGTTGGAAACCTGGAATCTCCTTTGAATGAACAGTGAAGGACAGAGCACCATAAAATACTTGGATATCCCATTTCCTTTGATAGAAATATGATGCAAGATCACTCTGAGCCACCATGATCCACACTTTCCCTTTAGGTTCCTTAGGCACTAATTCCATTTGTGGCAGATGAAGTAACACTCTCAAAACAATCATATTTCTTTCATAAATTATCACAACAATGGCATTGTTTCGCATCAAGAAAAGGTACATTTCCACTAGCCAATCCAGGTCATCAAGAATAGTACCTAGATAAAATGGCTTAAGTCTTTTCAAAAAAGCAACACAGATTCTGTGAAGAGAGAACATGGAGGAAATAGTACAAACAAACCTTTCTCCATCTTCATCTTTAAATAGTATTCCAATCCATGTCCACCTGAAGTGCATAAGGAGCTGGATAATCGCTTTGTATTGGTCGGCTTCATTTGGAGCCATCTGATAGAAAGAATGTTCTTCAGAGCTATCACTCTTATGTAGAGGTGAACCATATGTGATCTTTCAAGCAAAAGTTGAAAAATTGAGATAAAAATAAAAATTGCATACCTTGGGATCATAGGCATTTACAGACAGAGGTGGAGGTTAGAGAAAGAGAAAACGTTATTGGTTCCTGGTCATTTTGTTAAACTCTAAATACATATATTATTTAATAAGTTTAAACACAGTATGTCTTCAAATTCTGTGACATACCTATAGTTCTTTTGGAACTTTGTAGATACACAAAATAAATGCCATAGTGAAAGAGATTCCAGAATGAAGTTCTCCAATGACTGAAATAAGTATGTTCTGGATGTCACACTTATAATTGGGGATGAAATTCTTTATATATTAGTTATTGTAACAATTTGATATTATTCATTGTGCTTCATGACAAAAAAAATCATCAAGGTTTACAAAACTCAGGTAATCCTGTAAGTTTCTTTAATTTCCTACCTGTGGAACTTTGTAGATGCTCAAAATACGTGCCATCTTGAAAGAGATTCCAGGTTTCCAACAGTTTCTTCAGACTGTGAAC